GTATGTAAAAAATAACAAAGTGTACAGACATAAAGCAAAATAAATTGCGTACTGTTTATCACTTGTAAAAGTGAAAAGGATATACATTTTGTTGGTGTCACCCTCTAGACGAAAAAGCTTTTAACGCATTTTTTATTGTAAGAAAAATAAATGCCCCTGCAGCTAAAAATTAAATATATTGTTCCCTTCTAGCATTTTCATTTGTATTTCTTTTCGTTAGAAAAACATCTTTCTAGATTTTTTCAAAAGAAACCGTTTCAAAGGGGGGTACGAATTGATCCTTTACCTGTACTTATATAATTTTTCTTGTAGTAAAAATAAAAAATAATCCATTAAATTAGTGTACAATGAAACCCTTGCTTATTATACACCGTGTCCCACGTAAGGCGGGCATTACAACTTTATGGAGAATAAATTAATTTGTATTTTCGCCATTTTCTGAGTATACATAATCGAATATGCTCTTTTGAATTAAAATAAAATGAACTCTGTGCAACTTCCGGTTATACCGGAAGTGACCACTAACTTCGTTATTTTAAAGGGAATACCCCATATTTTTTTTTAATTTTAGATTCAGCATGAAATTCTGTAAACAACGATACCCCATTTGCCTATTCTAGTTATAGCGGATTTGGCGTTATTCAATTTTTTTCTACATTTTTAGTCGCCGGTAGACATTTTCTTAAAGTCGTCTATCTCAGGTACTATATCTGTCAGATACTTAAAATTTTAACCAGAGGTAGTAGATGGGATGTACTTCTTGAGAATATTTAGTTATTCATTATTTGTTGTACGGGGTGTTTGCAAATTTTTTTTAAAAATGAAATTTTTTAAACATAAAAAACTTTTTTATTTTAAATTGAACACCCTATATATTTTTTAAATTTTAGATTCAGCATGAAATTCTGTAAACAATGATACCCCATTCGCCTATTCTTATTATAGTGTATTTGGCGTTATTCAGTTTTTTATAAACTTTTATATGCCGGCAGACATTTGTTTTTTTAAATTTACTTGTACATCGTTTGTTCGACTGTGTGTTTGGAAATTATTTTAAAAAATAAATATTTTAAACATGAAAATTTTTTTTATTTTAAATAGAAAATCCTGTATATTTTTATTTCATTTTGTTCAGAAAATTATTCTTCATTGATCTTCATTTGCACTATTAATTCCCTATAATTATCTCTCGCCAATTTTAAGAAAATTTAAATTTAAATTTTACGCATGCACCTACATAATATAGTATAGTTTTACATTTTAATTTTTTATCTTAGTATGCCGTGGAAATATGCTAAACAACAATCTGTCAACAAACTGAATTGTCATATTTCTATATATTTAAGTTGTGTATTTTTTGCGTTCAAAATATGGAAAATATGGAAAATATTGAAGAATATACCAACCAAGATATTCTTAATTTATTTTACATTCATGGAGAATGTAATCGAATCAAAAGTAGAACCTGCCGCATGTTTAATGAACGATACCCTCATTTACCACCAATGAACAGACAGAAATTTGATAGAATCGAAGCTAACTTTTTGAATAATTTTAAACAAAACCCGGGAAGAAACCGTCAACATTATGTCCGAGATGAAGAAGTTAATCTAATTAACGTATTAGGGTATTTTACTGCGTATCCTCACGCCTCCATTAGAATGGCTCAAGATAATTTAAATATTAGTCGAGGGTCAATACAACGAATTTTAGCACTAAATAAATGGCATCCCTATCCACAAAGAAAAGTTCATGAGTTGCGAGATGGTGATCAAATAAGACGAACTGAATTATGCGAATGGTTATTGGTACGAATTCAAGAAGATCCCGAGATTTTAAACAAAATTTTGTGGTCAGACGAGTCGAAATTTACACGTAAAGGGATCATCAATCGCAAGCAATGTCATTTCTGGGCAAACGAAAATCCACATTTTTATCGTGAAGCACAATTTCAGTACGAATTTAGTTTTAACGTGTTTGCAGTGATCGGTTTTGGAAGAGCTTTTTATTACATTTATAATGAAAGACTGACCTCAGAAAGATACATTAGAATTCTTAGGGAAGTAGTTGCCGACATTTTAAACCAGCTACCAAATAATAATTTTTGGTACCAGTTGGATGGTGCCCCAGCACATTCAACATACTATGTAAATCAAGAAATTACAGCACTCTTTGAAGACCGATGGATAGGTCCAAATGGTCCTTGGCTTTGGCCTGCAAGATTGCCAGATCTAACTCCTGTTGATTTTTTTTATGGGGTCATATTAAAAATTTAGTGTACTCTACCCAAATTAATAGTAAAGAAGAATTAGAGCAAAGAGTTCGGAATGCCTTTAACGAGTTAGATGGTGAAATGATTCGTAAAGTAACAACTAATCATGTTGAAAAAAGATTGTTAAAATGTTTAGAAGCTAACGGGGGGCATTTTGAACATTTGATAAAATGATTTTTTTAAACCATGTGCTTTTAATAAAAATTGTTTTTAGTTAGTATGTACCTTATCATTAAAAAAATTTAAACTTTTTAAACGACATATTTTGTTGCAGAAAACTGTAAATGTTTTTAAAAGTACATCCCATCTACTACTTCTGGCTAAAATTTCAAGTATCCAACAGAAATAGTACCTGAGACAGTCGATCTTAAGAAAATGTCTACCGGCGACTAACGCCAAATCCGCTATAACTAGAATAGGCAAATGGGGTATCGCTGTTTACAGAATTTCATGCTGAATCTAAAATTAAAAAAAAAATATGGGGTATTCCCTTTAAAATAACGAAGTTAGTGGTCACTTCCGGTATAACCGGAAGTTGCACAGAGTTCATTTTAGTTTAATTCAAAAGAGCATATTCGATTATGTATACTCAGAAAATGGCGAAAATACAAATTAATTTATTCTCCATAAAGTTGTAATGCCCGCCTTACGTGGGACACGGATATGTCGATACAGACAAAAAAATCTTGCAATGTAAGGTTTCGTAGTACCCCACTTTTAAAGTTTATTTTTGACTATTTGTAAAAATTCAATTTAGTTTTTTTTTTTAATTGAGAAAATGGAAAAAAGTCGAGTTTTGTATTTTTTTTTTTTTTTTTTTTTTTTTTTTTTAGAAAAAACAGATTCAAATTTTGAAAAAGTGTCTCTAGAGGAGCACAGATTTAACCTTTACCTACACGCACATATTTTTTCTTTCAGAATAAGTCAAAAATAAACCTAAAAAGTGGGGTACTACTAAACCCTAAATGTTTATTAGTGACTGTAATTAAAATTTACATATTATAAAATAGAAGAGAATTTAAGAAAACGTTTTCACATTGTTAATTAGAAAATATTTTTTACTCTTATAGCTACTCTTAAACCTCTAAAATATAAAAAATCCGTCTGCATATTTCTTTCGTTTTTATAGCACAATATTATCCAATTAATGTCAAATTATTCGGAAATAAAAATACCGGCTGTATCTCGAGTGATAATGTCGCCGCAAATCATGTGTACAGGTACCAACATAATGATAATATTATTATTGCATAATTTTGGTCGTCAGGATGGAGACTTGCGTGATATGAATTATTAACTATATAATTTTTATTATTATACAAGACATAGATCATAACTAGCATTTTTATTTAAATATTGTTAATGATTTTTAATTTAGCGCGACAAAAATAACGCCTAATAGAAATTAAAAATATTTAAAAGAATAAACTCAAAAAGATAATATATATCTACGAATATCCAGTTATCTGGAATGTCAAGTTTGTTGTTTTTAGGAAGAACTGTCAATTTTTCAATATTTACTAGATATTGGGCGTTCTAAATTAATCAATATCAATAAAAACGTACATACTGTAATGTGAGCCATTTCCGACCAATCTGGTCATGCTCTGATGTTTTGGTTCCTTCTGCATTGTTTGGGCCTTATTACGACCACACAGGTAGCCGGTATGAACCATTCATTCGGAATTGAACTAGAAGTAAATTTGAGAAACTGCTGGAGACGCCTGTCTAATAAATGGTGAGAATGAGAATAATCTAGCGCATATACCAATTTATATATAAATTGGCTGTGTTGCACAGGAAGTAGTTCAGTTAAAGTCGAGTCATAGCAGTGAGAACATCGATAAAGTAAATGCCTAAATAAACCAAATATCCAACGAATAACACGTTACAAACTGCTCCATAATTGTTCTATCGACAATTGCGGTATTAACCGCGGATCAAGGGCGGATCCAGCCTTTTAGTCAGGGAGGGGGTCACATCAGACCATCAGAGGCGTATTAAGGGGGAGAGGGCATTTGCTCTCTCCCAAAGATAAAAAAACGCAAAAAAGCCAAAAATATTTACTCAAAAAATCTATTAATATCAATTTAGTTGATAAATAACTTATAACAACTTGTAAAACCGACATTTTAATACTAACTTCAAATTAAATAACGAAATCAATTTTTCTCTTCTGCCTTCTCGCGAAACGATTAACTACTTCTTCCATATCAACAGGAACATTTTTATGAATGTGGTGAAGCGCCAATCCTATTAGACGGTCTTCCGCCATTGATGCTCTCAACCAAGTTTTTAGCCTTCTAAGTGTGGAGAAGGACCTCTCTGCCGTCGCTACACTGACTGTTAGTGTAGAAAGAATACACAGAAGCTTTTTATGTTAGGATACATATCACCATCGCAATGCATTATCAGATCAGAAATCGTCTGCGGTATAGCCTGATCCTGTTTCCATTTTTCTGTCCACAGCCGATATTCGCTGATTATAACCGACACTCGCGTGTTGTCTATTAGTGAAGTTGAAATAAATCAAGTACCTCTGGAGATAACCGCTCTTGCAGATAATTTATTATGGAGTCCAGAAGAGGGATGTAGGTAGACGCTCCTGCGAAAATACTCCTTGAGCTGGTTGATTATTAGCTCTATGTACTTGTCTTGACGCTAATCTGGGGCATTTTATTTCAACGTTAAGTTGTTCGGCTAATTCTTGTGCTTCATCAAAAAGTTGTTAAAACACTGTGTTTACTTGTTCCCTTTTTTGTCTCAGAACACTCATTGTGTCGTTTATAGCCTCTGTAGCCCTCTTTAAATTAATCGAGCTGGTTTGTAATACTCTGCTCAAGGATACAGTTGTGCCTAAAAAAATTAGTTATATTAAACTAAAATTTTAGCACGTTTTGGTCGCTGTGTACCTACCTAAAACATCACTCAAGCAAATAGATGATATTATAAAGTCCGAACTGCGCAATGTTTGCAACAAGCAATGCGTGTCATTAGCATTATTTTTGTCTTGCCAATTAGAAATCTGTTCTAGAGCGCTACAAATTTTTACTAAGTTGTCAACCTTGAAATTGTAGATGGCCATCATGCCGCTCAATCCAACTCGTCTCACAGATATCCTGCATTGTAGCTCCAAGCTCTCTTTCAAAAATTTGATGCCTCTTAGCGGAAACATTGGCAAATGCCACAACTTTTCTCATTGTGCTTGAAGTATTACGGCAAGAAGTTACTTTGGAAGACATAGCTAACGAGTTATTAAGAACATGATTGCTGTATGGGCAACTTTTGGCGTGTACAGCTTTTTTTGATAACTTTTACAGCCCCCTTTGTCTCTAAAGCCATAACCAAGCAGCTGTCTATCCCAATACCCACATCATGTTATATCCAAATTAAATTTTATACAGAGAGTTCGCTAGTCACCCGAGGCTCCACATCACCTGTATCATTATCATCGCATTTAAGCATATCATGAACATTACAGAAAGTCACAAAATCTTCCTTTATAGTGCCATTATAAAGATATCTAAATGAAAGGCTTAGCTGCGAGATATGTGATAGGTCTGTTGTTTCATCGAATAAAATTGAAAAGTATTTAGCAGCCTTCACATTCTGTAAAATATTTTCCTGAATAATTTCTTTGCAAACATCAATCAACTCTTTTTGCACAGTTTTGCTAATGTATGTTGCATTCGACTTACAAATCTCTAAATGATGTTGCAATGCTTTGTTACCAGATTCTATACGGAATTTCAAGAATGCTCTAAAATTTCCTTCGTCAGCTACCATGCTGTTATTACCTGCTACCACATCCAACAAATTGCCATCGTCGCGATGGCCACATAAAGATATATTTTGATGACAACAAAAAATTATCGTTTTTACAATAGGTCGTAATCGTTCCCTATTTTCATTAACTTGTGTCATTCTTTGGCTACTTATTTGGTTGATAATATTAGGTTCAGGTTTGTAAAAAGTTGTTAAAAAGTTTTTTCCACTTTTGACAACTATTTGATGATACTGATTTCGCTGGTGAGTTAGCATTTTCACCAAGAAAATCATCAAAAGCTTTAAATGGTTCTTTGACGAGACGTTTTAGAGATGTTTTCTACCGAATGCCACCTCCGAGTGTTTCTGCAAATAAAACACAATATTTGCAATAAAGGCCCTGATCTTTATGCGATAAAACAAGTCAGTGAAACTTATCAAGGTGTGACTTCTGTGCATATTTCTTTGTTATTTTTTTCCTTTTTTGGTAACAACACAGTGTGGAAAAATATAATTTGGGGGTGGCAACCAATGCTTCTCAAGCAACATAGCTCTTGTTAAATCGTCTAGATTTTTTCCTACTTACCATCCAATATCTGAGGAATTTTTTTTTTTGAGAAAGCGAACTGTTTATTTGATAAGAATTGGAAGTAGACGTAAATGATACGGCATGCATTGAACATCATCAGCAGAAGCACATTTGTTTTCTTCTTCTAAGGTTAATTTTATCGATGGAGCATCGGCAGTACACACATTATCAATATTATCATATATGTAAGTGGTTACTATAGGTATATTTTTCGGATGTTTATCAATCTCAAGCCTTGGTTTTTTTATAAAAAATGAATCTATCTTTCTAAATAAATTGTGCTTCATTTTTGAGCTACCACTACTACTACCACTACCACCATCTTTTTCGTTAGAGTCACCATGTAGGCAAAAATACCTATGTATAACTAAGCAAAAATAGAAGCACTTAAATACATACATTAGTTCAGTTTCAGTAGGTACTATTCTGATGTTTGTGTTAGAAATTGCATTCAAGAAAAAATGTTATTGAGAAGATTGAAGATTTAAAATGTTGCTTGTTGCTTTTAAATAAACCACAAACGAAACACTTACCATCTTCAGCAAGGCAAGTAAAATGAAAGAACTTTTAAGATCTCTTCTAGTCAGCTTCTTTCTCATAAAGTACATAATGCAACCTGCAATCACGTTAAACAAGCGCGAAGACTATGAGCGGAATGGCTGAACCACAGAGCTGAACTGACCTCTAACCTGTCGGATTGGTTCATCTCGACATAGAGCGGGGGGGCTATTTTCAAACTCGAGAGAATTTATTTCTCTCAAGAGAAATGTCATACGTCAACGTAAAACAGTATTTTTAGGACTCTTTTAGGGCCAGTGTGAACTCACTGACTGTTTCTCTCAGTTTATTTAGAGATAATTAAAATTCTCCTAAGAATTTTAATCCTCGAGGCCTTTAAAAACAGCGTTTCCACATTGACATATGACATTTCTGATGAGAATCTTGAGAGAAATGAGTGCTCCCATACATTGAAAATAGCCCCCCGGGGGTGGGATGGCGTTACTGTGAACTGTGACGTCATCAAACATCGAAAGCTTGGCTGTGAACTAATAGAGATGGGAGATTAGATGGGATGGCATGACCGGACAAAACGACGCTGTAAAACTACAGCGTTTTTATTTGGTAGAAAGTATATACTTAAAAAATATGATCAGATGTAAGCCTCCCAGGGGGGATCATGGCCCCCCTGGATCCGCCCTTGCCGCGTCGGAGGTGGAGTGGTCCAATAAGTTAAAAGTTCTTAAAATGGACGCCAGTATATTTTGCTACGAAATACCCCGTGCTGAAAATCAGAACCAAAATACTAAATGTGGCTGTTACACAGGATAAAGGTTAAATAAATACCACTAGGCAAAAACGGGCTTAAATAAAAGTAAACAGCTTAGTTTGCTCTCTCTGTAATTCAATAATTTCAATAGTTCAATGAATGTACCACCTTCTATATTAATCTTCTATTATTAGTGTCCCATGCATCTATATTATCTTATGGTAAAATAAATTGTTACTTTGTCCAAATGAATAAAAGATACATACCTAAGTTTTCTGAAATCTAAAAAATTGTGGTCGTAGAAAAAGTATAGTGTGCAACATGTGCGCAAATAACTTTGTCGACAAACTATTGATTTTTTGGGAAACAAAATCAACCAGTCAAGTGTCAACTTTGGCTCATTTCTAATGCGTCGTATGCATACAAAAACAACTCTCTAATTATTAGTAAATATGTACATTATTAACTTAATGTGGATATCATATTTAAGTGAGTCTATTTGAACTAATTTCTTAAAGTAGCAATTAAAGGAAATTAAATTGCTGTCTGTTCTTTATTTTAGAAGCAAGTGAATAAACCTTTTAATTACGTTAACCCACAGACCTTGAAAATTCACAACACAGCATTTTCTGTAATTATATGTATATCATATATATGTATACCACCATTTGCTGTTTAAAAAATTATTATTATTATTATATATATAGGACGAGAACTATTTTTTCTTGAAATTATTCAGATGTATCCAGATGTACTTGTAAAAAAAGTATACATTTATGTCGTTAACAATGACACGACTCCGCACGGTTGGAATAAAACCTGACTACGATCGATCTATAGTAGAATATCACAATTGTAGATAGTGAATCATCTTGTAAAGAAATTTTATAGGCCAATCAAATTAGATGTTTACCCTGTACAAAAAAAAAATATTTTTAATAGTTGTTGATTTTTTGAATACCGACAAAAAAAGAAATATTCAGTATTAATTAATAAACAAATTAGTGGGGTATTGCAAAATTTATGTAATCTCTTTCAAATTTACAAAAACATTCTTCTTATACTAAAACCTTTTTCTTCTACTCACTCTTCAAAGACTATACGTTCAGATAGTTTCAAAAAAATTGAGGAGATCGCTATCTCTATAAATATTTTGAAAAACTAATTCATTTGTTTATTATTCGGTTTATTATTTACCTCCAGAACAGATATCATTTTGTTGAAATAATTTTAACTACTTGACTGGTCTATTTTTAAACTGTTCAAACATCTTCCAAGCGATTGGTAAAATGAAACGTTGTCAGCGTGTAGTTTGCATCTTTATCTAACGGTAGATACTGTCCGAGACCAACACTGTCGTCGCAGATTAAAGCGACGTTATTGGCAACAACGCCTTTGAATCTTGCTTGGATGTTATCGTTGAAGCGGTGCCATAGGCGTGCTGATAGGGATTTCATCAGCAGAAACCGGAATTGTTTATAATAGAGAGGTTAAGTATAACCTGATCTCTCTTATATTAGTGGAAGGCTCTTTTACGTTTATAAACAAACGATATTAATACTGCGAAGGCTGAGACTAGAGAAAGAAAAAAAAAATAAAATTGGAAGATATAACCAAACAATTCATTCGTCGTGCAGTACATGCATTTTATATTAAAACGGAATTACTAACTGTAAAGAAAATTACTTCCTCTCTTCAATCTAATGAAAATCTCCCAAAAATATCAAGACGTGCTTTATTACGTACTTTGCGTGAAATGAACTTCAGGTATTTAAAGAGAAAGATGAATAGTACTCTTATTGAAAAAGAGGAAATAATTTTATGGCGCAGAAAATATCTGAAAACAATAGCAGAGTTTCGAAGAAATGGCAGAAAAATATATTATACAGATGATGAAATTGTTTAATAATAATAATAACCTACATCAAACTTGGTCAAAATTTTAGGGTGGCGGAATTTTGTACCAGAGAGTGACAATAGTATTTATCTTTAAAAAAGGAGATAAATGTTTTTTACAAAAAACGTTTAGCGTTTAACCATCGACCATGTGGACCGAATGGGAAAGTAATATGACTTTTAAATGGTGGCACAATTAGCCGCATGCTTCAGTGCCACCACACTACAAACGGAATATATTAGGGTGATAGCACGGGGGGTACGATAGGTATTTCAGTATTAATTAGATTATATTTGAAGCAGTATTATTTACCAAAATATTGTTAATACTTTAAGATGCTGAATCTATGATTAAAACATTGGAAATTCTTTATGAATCACCTTGTAGAATGAGAATTATGTTTTCTTCTACGCACCACCTGCACAGCTAGTTAGTGATATTCATCTTTGATTACGATTATGGTAATAAATAGCGCGGTCCTACCTTTACCTTCTTTTGAATATGAAAATTCGAAATCTCATTAAATGTTATTGGTGTTAACGCTGCATTCAAAGTTGTAATGTCCTGTTAAGTAGCTTTCACACAATAATTTTTTTAAGAAGTCTTTTAATGTTGATGCACATATTTATGGACTACCTATTATAAAATTCATTAATTATTATCTTCAATAATATTTAAATGCATATAAATTAGATATCTTCTTTTACACAGATAGAAACTATGATTGCATTCTGTATATTTTTTTAACTTCAAGCTTCTTTAGCTTACACCCGATCCTGATACTCCTAATAAAACAATTCAATTATTTATTCTCATCCTATCTCAGTGCACTTGATGAGATAGTTCTGAAGACTTTCTCTGAAGCAATATTCGTCCAGACCCTCAAAATAGGTATGTTCTGTAATTAATCATTACTTCATAATCTGTAAAATAATAATTGTCTAATTAGGTATTTATTGAAATTGAGAAAGATATACTTAATAGTCAGAGAATGACATGTCGGGAGACTAAGATGAATGTTTATATAAATAAAACCTTGTCTTCCAATTTTTGAGAGAAAACTCACTATTCGACCGGGTGAATCAATTAACAGTAAACCTTTGGAATTCCAAAATCCGGATACATTTAAAACACATTTATCTTTCTTGACTATGACCCCACTAGTTTAATGGGTCTTTTATTTTAAGTATGTAATAATGCTCCCAAGCTTCTTCCTTCTTCTCAAAATGGAGCATAATGAAAATGTTTATTCTGATTATAAACAAGCAAGTATTTCATCTTGCTACAACGGCCATCTTATTTTAGTTAATAAGTAAATAAACGGGTCGATTCTGTATGCAATATGACTATGGGGCTAATTTCAAAAGATATAGCTAGATAACTAGATTTGCATAATACCGTATTCTTATCATCAATTTTCAATATGTTGTCATTTCTCTGTATCTGTAACGTGTGGATGGTGGGTTAACCCCACGGCACTTAGGCCTCACTAGGCCCATTGTCCATCCTCCTAAGATGATAGG